TTGGAAGTAGACCCGTTCAGGCTTGAAGAGATCAAGGTCATAGACACCTACCTAGATGGACGTAGCAATAATATATCAGTAAAAAAKGAAAGGAAAGTTGACGGAAAAGTTGTAATATCATATGCATGCTAGATTAATCRCTTTAGAGTTATTCAGGGGCGTAGCGAGGTCTCGATCATAGGAAGAGGGAGGGTAATCTACCATTTTCCCGCCAACGCACACGCACACGCGTTAAGTCTTTAAAATGATAGGATAGGATAGGGTAGGGTAGGGTAGGGTAGGGTAGGGTAGGGTAGGGTAGGGTAGGGTAGGGTAGGGTAGGGTAGGGTAGGGTAGGGTAGGGTAAGGTAGGGTAGAAATGGATACGAAGGGAGGCAGGGAGTGAGGGAGGGAGCGAGCGGTCCACTAAATCGCTATTCTTAGTACCTTGCAGCGTCTTCTGTTGTCTCCTGACCAGTTTCGGAACTCTCAATATTTACATGAATCGGTGATAGAACAAAAGGCCGACCAAAACACTGAGCCTGAGARAAAGAAATGACAAAATTAACAATAATGGGAAAAATAAAACACCCTATCTTTGTATTCTTTCTTTCGTGTTTCTTAGTTACTTGTGGTAGATTAGACGTTTTTACCTGAACATTCCKGTAATTTGGCAAAGACGTKGCGGCCATAGGCCTTTTCTGAGTTCGCTTAACAGGATGCATCGTGGTCTTGCTTGGGTACAAACAACACCATATGAGGCATGGTGAACAAAAGATGTTTGTACCTAAGCTAGACCACAATGCAACATGTTTGCTATCTCAGAAAAAAAGTATATGTCATGTCAACATTGCGGCTATTATATAATTTTGAAATGGAAAAACCAGCATGCTACGCGCGCCCTAAATTAGAAATCGCAGGAAAAGTCATGTGATCTGTATCACGTGATATCCAACTCGCCTGTCCTGAGTTATAATATTCCATGGCTTTCTGGACTGAATCATCATCTTTGAACAAGGCCCACGCTAATCCATTTGGCTTACGAAGGATTGGGTCCTAAGTAAGAAAACATACAGGCGTTACTCAACACGTAGGATATACCTTTTTCTAGTATATCATTTTCACCGCCAAAGCA